TTGAAGCTCTCGACCTTGACCTCTCTAAGTGGCTTTAAGAATCTGTTGGACTCCTGGCAGGGTCCAATGCTGACATGTTCCTGTTTTTAGTTTTATACATTTGTCTTGGAATCTAGCTGTTTTTTTGGTTTTGTTACCTTTTTCCTTTTAGCCATCCTATTTGTTAAAAAAAAAACAAAAAAAAAAAAAACTGTAGTATGAGTTTTTATAACTGCTTATTGTTGTTGCTGTTGTCCATTGTTGTCATCTTTCTTTGTTGAAATCAGGTCTCTCTTGTAAATGAGTCCTCGAGGCTCAATGGGATTTACCTGTATAAATAAAGGTTGATTGATTGATTGATTTTAAGGGGCTTTTACAAATATAGAGTGCGATTAAATGTATCCAAAAAGTTTTAAATGATCCAAATGGGAAAGAAAAAAAAAAGTTATGGCTACTTTCAGATTTTACACGAAACATTAAAATATGTAGAAGTAAAAAGTTTCCTGCAATATTATTTTCTACTTTTATCACTGTAAAGTACAAAAGTGGTCCGAGGTCGATGCTCTCTTCCAGTGAACTTTTAGTAATTTGGTTTAAGCAAAAACAAGAAAATGAAAACGCAGCATTAGTTGAAAGAATGCATGTTGCCCATCACATTGGAGGCAAATGTTTTAAACTAAAATCATTTATCATCTATTAGCTCAGAGTATGCGGTGGGGATGACTCTCTGCTACTACCGCATCACATTTTAGCTCAATATTTGTAAAATTGACTGAATCATAGCCATCTTGAATCAGGTTGACTAAAAGCTAATCCGCTGTCGATGCATTTCCAAAAAGTACTTAAGAGTTTTGTTACAATCCATTCAGTGGTTCATGGCATATTTTGCTAACAGACCGAAAAACGAACGCACACACTCACATGATAAACAGCAAAAATAGGCTGTGCTGATAATCTGAAGCCATTTTACTACTTTCTCATGACTTTCTGGGCAAATATTTTAAAACTATTGGGAGAAAATATTACTTTTGAGACACTGAAGCTACTAATTAAATAAACAATAAAACTTTATGGTAAAAATAAAACAACTAAAAAAAATACCACTCTTTTGATTTTTATAATTACAGGTACAGTATAACAAGCCTTTTGACAAATGCTCTATGCAATTTTTTGATAATAATATATAATCACATATGCAATCTTATTCCAAACGTCCAAAGCAAACAAAGACCCCTGATTATCATAAGTAGGCACAAATATGGCGAGTATATAATTTTATGATCACAAGCAGTGATTAAAGGACACAAAAGACACACACAAAAAAAACAACATTATTTTTTGCCTAAATACATCATATCTAAAAATAACTAAATAACTACCATTCTTCTCAATATTCAGCAAGAAATAATTTTGGTTTTCACTGTTCTAAGGAATTTTCTATAATCTTTATGATTAAAATGTGACCAGGAAGTGATTGTGACTAAATTTGTGAATTCAAGCAATTTATTCATCAAAAATGTTAAAATCCCAGTTACATGTTGTGAAATTAAATAATCACTTAGTTCCTCCTGAATCCAAACGGAATCACACTTCAAAAAGTTTGTTGCTCATTTTGATAAATGTAAAGGGACATTTATTATTAGGTTATTAGCACGATAACTGACAGACATATTAACAGAGGTAACAGAATGCTATTAGCCTCATGAAACAACAAGGCTAAGTTGAAAGTAAAGTTTAGATCCGTTAAAGTAGCACACACCGAGACGAAGGCATTGTCTCATCAACCCTCCAGACGACATGTTCTTTTCCGCTTCGATCTCACTGAAGTTGAGGGAGCTGGCAAACACTAGCACGTCTACCATGGCCATGAGACGGGACAAAAACGTGACTGCTGTCTCTGATGACATGCCCTGCGTCGCCTCAATGTTCTCCAACTCCGTCTGGGAAGAGAGAAGCAAGGGACACACCCCCTCGATAGTTATTCTGTGACAAACACAATGATGTAAACACAGTATGGATGCTGTGTGTGTGGGCTGAGGAGAGACAATGAAGTAAAGTGATATACGTAGTCCCCCGATACTTCGCGGTTCGACTTTCGCGGACTCGCTCTTTCGGGGTTTTTCAATGGAAGATTGTACACAACACACGATTGTCAACTTTAATATTACTCACGTGATTGGGACGGTACAGGAGTTAACAGAAAAATAAAAACTTCAGACAGGCGCCGCCATTTTGTAGTTTTCTTTCAATAAGCCTGCACTGCAAGGCCAGTCAATATAACTACACTATCCAGAAGCCAACAGTGCTTCCGGACGATTATTTCTGCTGAAATGGAGGGAAAGTTCTGCAACGCAACGTTAGAAGTAACATATAACTATGACCCAAAAAAGTTCAATCTGGTCCTCTGGACATTCAAAAAAAACAACAACAAAAAAAACAAAGCAAAAAAATCTAGAAACGTTTCATCTCTCATCCAAGAGACTTCCTCAGTCTGAGGTGCTGTTTTCAGCTCAGTCTCTTAAATAGCACCGTCTCAGAGTGGATCAACCAGTTTGCTGCTGACAACCAAAACCAGCTGATCACATGCTCAAGAAGGACCATCAGCCTAACAATGGATCATTAGCACACTGATGGCTGTTTACTACTCACAGAGGGCTGAGTGATACTAGCAATCACAGCATTGTAAGAGGGGGACAGTTAAACCTGGAGGCCTCCACCCCTGTTTAATGATAGACGATTTCTTTTCACAAAGATGGCCTCCTTTACTCCTCTCTCAAACCTTTGTTCCTCTCTGTCCAGGATGTGAACATCTTCATCCTTGAAAGAGTGACTGCTGGCCTGGAGATGAGTGTAGACCGCAGAGTCCTGGCCTGATGATGTTGATCTTCTGTGCTGGGCCATCCTTTTGGCCAGTGGCTGTTTAGTTTCCCCGATGTAAGACTGATCACAGCCCTCCTGACACTGAACAGCATACACAACATTACTCTGTTTGTGCCGGGGGACTGGATCTTTGGGATGAACCAGTCTTTGCCGTAATGTATTTTGGGGTTTAAAAGTCACTGGGACGTTATGTTTAGAAAATAAACGTCTCAGTTTCTCTGATACCCCCTCAACATATGGAATGACCACTGGTCTGGGTCTGGTTTAGCATGTGATCAGCTGGTTTTGGTTGTCAGCAGCAAACTGGTTGATCCACTCTGAGAAGGTGCTATTTAAGAGACTGAGCTGAAAACAGCATCTCAGACTGAGGAAATCTCTTGGATGAGAGACGAAACGTTTCTAGATTTTTTTGCTTTGTTTTGTTTTTTGGTTTTTTTGAATGTCCAGAGGACCAGATTGAACTTTTTTGGATTTTTCTACCTGGATTATTGAGCATGCATCAGGATATATAACTATGAAGCTCACAGAACTGGCAGGAAAGTTGCTAATAATCCTCACAAGCTCATGTATCCACGTGCACATCAACGGGCGGTTGGTGGACTTTGTCGCTGCAGGGTAGATCTGCTGAACCGGAACCAAGCCTGACCGGAACCAAGCTGCTGGTTTACAGAGCTTGTCAATATAAAATTTTACATTACTGTACAGTACATATACAGTACGTATGTTGCTAAAATTCAAATTCAAGTTCAAGTACTATAGGCTTATTGTCGTTCTCACTACATGCGGTACATGAGTTGGGACGAAATTATGTACACAGGGTCCCAGTCACACCCAGGGATTAATGTGTAAATCGATCAATGCCGGAACGCAAATAGCGGGTGGGCTGGATGTTGGGGGCGGTGCTGGAGTACGTGCATGCTCACAAGAGAAGAACCTGACAAGTTGTTTAATGACATAAAATATATTTTGTTAGCAAAGAATAGAGTACTAAATTTATTAAACATTACATCTGTATTTACAAAAAAAATAACATCAAAATTGTGCTTTGACAAACTAAAAAACTAAATTTTGTCAAAGCGAAAGAGGAAGAGAGGGGCAGGTACCACTCTTGCTTTGAGCTTATACTCTTAGTCACATGCGTGCTGTGGGTGAAATGCATCCAGAGCATCATAAAAACAGCAGCAGAGGTGTCGGGAGTTATTTATTTATCGTCTCAGCAGCAGAGCAGAGAGACACGGTTCAAGCACGGCTCCCCAAACAACAAGGCAGTCATGTTTGTTCATAACTTTATTATTAGTAAGCCTGAGAGTTGCCGGATTCAAGTAAACAGTTGCCGAAATGCACCCTGACAAAATAAGAGAGTTCCCGGATCTTGTTCCGGCAGGATCTGGCTAAAATTAAATACTGGCTACACCCAACAATAGCAAAAATATAAAGTATAAAAAGAAACAGTATATAAGGGTCTAAGATATACACTAAACAAGCGCCAAACGATACGCTAAACGATCTAAGATGGACAAGTTAACAAGCTAACAAGTTCCGTTCGGCTATAATTCACATGCTTAAAGTGAGCAGAGTCAGGCTCGGAGTCAATTTCAAAACTAACAAAAACTGGGTTTTCACCGAGAGCCCGTGAAGCTGCAGTCCAGCTGACCGCGGCCATTTTGGCATTTTAAAAATGTACGTAGTTTTAAGAGTTTAGAACATTGCAAAAGTGTGGGAAAGGTTTATAAAGCCTTAAAATATATAAAAATACTAACATAAATGTAGTGTCTGGAACGTAACACCCGCGATGATCGAGGGACTACTGTAGTCCTTTAATTTTAAAACATTCCTCTTTGATAAAAGCCCAGTACATTTTTTCCACCAACAAACAAGAAGAGCAACCTTCAGTGTCATGCTGGGAGCATATTCAAATGATGAAATCTGACTGAATGAGGTGCTCTGTACAACATGGACGTGTAACACAGGTAATGGTCACAATGAAACGGTGACAGGAGTGGTGAGGCCTAAAAGCAGTACTCAAGTACACACTTAAAGCTCGTCATGATACTGCGTTATGCGACATTTAAACAAAGCTTTACTCAGTTGCAAAATACACTGAATCCTGCATTAAACAATCGTGTGACACTGCAAGGATTTGTTGTTTCGCTGCTTTAGTGAGCAAGATGTTCAGGGCTGTGGAGAGCCAAATCGAGGAAGTGACCACAGACAGTTGGGGAATAACAAACACACAGAGTGAGCAATAAAAACGCTGGTGCTCTTAGTTCTTCTGATGATAATGAGAGTCTCAAGTTCTGTACGCACCTCTCCCCCTGCACCTCCTCCCCCAGGAACAGGGGTCACCTCCTCTCCTTTAGAACCCCTCTGGGGTCCGGCTCGTCCTGCCTTCTTTAGTGTCGATACAAACGAGACATTCTTAGCAGATGAAAGCCCCGAGGAATTTGTTTTTAGAAAACTTTTTTGCTCTTTTTTTTAAATTTCCAAAAATAAATAATCCCTTCACTGTCTTTTTCTCATTAAAGATAAAGTTTTGTCCATTTTACACCCTTAAAGTCTCTTTAAAAAAAAATAATATTTCAACAACGTTGAGCCTCAAATAATAAACAAAAAACAGTACAAGCTTTAGCAGCAAAGTAGCAGAACAAAATCAAACACTATGGATGTCAGGCGAGGGTTATCATTAGTTACAAATGGGAACAAAAGTCAAAACAAAGCGTTAAGGAGAAAAGAGAGAAAGAAACCGCAACTTACAGTGTTGGCACTACTCTTTGAGCTCTGCACATGCAAAACAGACACAAACAGAGACAAAGAAAGACGAGAAAATACACAAAATACAGGTAACACAGAGAGGAAAACAAAAGAGTCAAATGAAGATGTGATCAAACAGTTAGCAATTGTCAAATTAAACTGTTAATTTAAATGATAAACAAGCAAAACGCTGGGTTAGGTCGATAGTTAAATTTATGGAGGAATTAATGAAAATAAATCTAGATGTTTAATTAGTTCACATATATTTACATTCATTGCCAAAGTAAACAAATATACAGTATATAAACAACAATGAGAGTTGTGACATCATGGAGACCATTTTTCCTGCGTTGTATGAATGAGCTGCAGTTCCCCCTCCAACCACAGGGGGGCAGAGGAGAGCCACTTACAGAAGGGGAGGTTGCAGCTGACAAAAGAGGCAGAATGCCTCCGCAGGCGATGATGATGTTGTCCACCATCTGAGAAATGAGATGGATTGTGTTGTGGACGAAGATGATGTTCTCATTGCTGTTCACAAAATCCATAACCGACTTGGTGGAGTGGCTGGAAAAAAAAAAAAAAAAGCATAAAAAACAGAATACTTGATGCAATTTGTAAAAAAAAATAAATAAATAAATCAGCTGAGTTTATTGTTAAGCCTCATACAGTCTACTTCACCTTCTCCACACATGCACGTCTGTCTCCAGAGCAAAGAGGAGGTCAGTGAGCAGCCTCTGGTGCATCGGGGACCATTTGAATTCTGGGATGCGGAACATAGTTGTACGTGGGCCAGGACTGAACTGACGCCGTTGCTCGTCAGTCATGGGCATGCCTCTGAAACCCAGATCGACCCGCAGGTCCCGCTCTAGCTGCGCTGCAGTTCGACCATGGAGAGCCTAGAAAGACGATGTCCTCCGTTAGTTGGCCGAATGGTTTTTGTAGCACGTTTCATTGGTCTAGTAGAAATCTAATCATGGAAACTATAACAAAATTAAATTCCCTTTTCACTTTTGGAATAAAGCTAAACATGTTATGTGCTTTTATTAAATAAGAGAATAACAGCTCAACTGCAATCAGACTTTTAGCTTTTCAGCTGAGACAAATCAGGTCATGGCAGAGATGTTCATGCAAATCACAGTTAATCAGATTGTGCACGTTAAGAAAACTGGGCTGTAAATGGTGGCTAACCCAATTAGTCCATACGGCTGTAGGACACCAGGAACAAATATCAAAGAACATTTGATATTTTTACAAGTATTGAATTTAATTTAATTTAAATAATTACTATAACAGCTGTTCATTGCGTCACTTTCATTGCACGTATTGTGGACCTTTGTTGTATTACACCTGAAAAGAAAACACATAACCAAACCTGTGTTGTCGTAGTAGTTTGGATCTTCTTCGTGTCCTTTTCCTTCCCATCATCTGACCTCTCTGTATCAGAGGTAGTACTGGCTGTGTCTCCCCCAGTTTTAAGCCCCGCAGACTCCCCCTCTGCCCCATATGTGCCCTCTTCCTCTGGGAAATCTGGTCTTGATGCTCCTTGGAGCTGGAGCTGGGTCTCAGCCGCAGCAATGGAGCTGATGTCAGCAAGAGGGCTTTGGATCTTAAAGGGTCCGTCCTCAGGAAGCTCCCCGGAAGTGTGGCTCTGGGTCTGCGTTAAATCAGAGCCACAGCTGGTCATGTGGGCCAGCAAACTGAGGTCATCGCTAGCGCTGGTGGTGGAGTGAGCGGGGACGGTGATCGATGAAGAAGGCTGGTCTGGACTGGGCAGGACAAGAGGGTCTGTGGCTGCCAGAGCTGGAAGCAATTTTTCATCAACCTGAGGGACATGAATGAGGTAATGCAAACCAGAGTAGCGTTAGGGCATTAAAAAAAGAACAGCAGATGCATCTATTTTTGATGAGGAAAGTAGATGGACTAAGAAGGGTAGATAACAGAAACACAGCAATGACAGATTGGTGAATTTATTTTAGGTCAACAGGAGAGGGATGGGCTGCACAGTTTTAATTAATCAGTGACCACAATATCCCTCCTCCTACCTTGCTGAACAGAAATCCATTGTTGCTTGGAACACTGTCTTTCTCATCAGCTAATGTGATGAGAGGACCCATGTTTCTATCGTCCACCATGCTGACTCCAGACAGCCCCAGGCTCGTTCCTGTTCCAACCCTTGAACCTGGTGCGTCGTCCTTTGGAGCTAGATTTCCATTTAGGTTGTGAACCACAGAGCAGTATGCGCTGTCCAAGAGAGAATCCACTTCCACAAGAGGGCCATTTTCCATCCCGGCCCCACCCCCGTTGCCTCCTCCAACATTTCCACTAATGCCTTCTGGAGACAGGTCCAGGTCATCCAGTTTCACCTCTGTTGCTTCTACTTTTTCAGCCTTAATGTCCACCAGCAGATCATGAACCTCTACCCTTACTCCTGGACCGGAGCTCTGCTCCCCAGGTGTCAGGGCTTCTCCATTGGGTCGCTTCACAGCACCGTCAGCAAGAAGGTTGCGTGAATCTCCACTAGCTCCTTCGCTGTACTCGGCTTCACTCTCGGGAGTCTGTGTCTGAGAGTTGTCATCGATCTCCAAGTTGCCGTTGACGACCGGGGCCGGCGTGGCTGAGAGGCCAGAAATCGTGGACACGGAACCTTTCTTTCCCTTCTTCATGTTTTCCTCCTCCTGACGCTGATACTCCTCATACATCTTAGCCAAGTATTCCTTGTGGGCTTCATAGGTCACCTGTGACAGATGATGGAATATAATTGGTAACGTGATCAGAACACGTGCACTGACAACAGTTCCCATTCACATCCATAACCAGCAGGTAGCTCCTAAGGGGGCTCATAGATCATCATGCTAAAGAACAGATAGCTGTAGCTTTCCAGAGCTCTTAGACCATCATCCATGATGCCTCCTCACTTTACCGATGAGAAAAAGGGTAAAAATGCATGAGCAGTGAAAATAGAAGTGATTTTCTTACTAAAAAAAATCTGTGATGAAACATTATTCATTTTATGACTTATATTTATTTTGCTATTTAAATGTGCACATATTTAGCAAAAAATGAAAAAGACTACAAAAGCCAACAAAGGTTTTGGGAATGTGTACCACCCTTACCTTGGAGTGTGCAATGGACAGGGTATCAACCCAGACCCTCCACCCTCCCCACTCGTATTTGATGGCATGGTAGAGAAGGATCCTGAAGATGTTGTACACCATCTCCGTTATTTTCTGCTCCTCGGGGTTCTTGGGGTTGATGTATCCGAGGGAGAACATCCAGTCCTGCCACACAGAGCACTGCAACAAGCAGCTGGTGTGGAAAGAACAAACAGTTGATGTTAGCTGCTGCGTAGCATGAACTTCATCTCAATTATAATAATTACAGCTGGAAAATGATGACATGGGGGGAATAAAAGCAGGTAAAAGCATATGTGTGCGTTTTTACCGGCGATTTTCGCGGCTGTTACTGAAAAGTTTGATCATATCGGAAAGAAAGAGTCTCCTGACTTCCATTAGCTCAGCACTTGGGGTGGAGTTCTTCAACAGGGTCGCCACAACCTTTAGAATCACTGGGTGGTGTAAAACAATAACAACACAGGGAATGAGGAGAGCAGGAGAAACGAAAATACAAACAGCATCTTGAACAAGAGAGAAATTTGGGAGTGATGTGAGCAGAAGTGTTGTCTTTGAAATTCAGGCTTTGTTGTTTGTTCACATTAAAATAACGGTTATTTGCAGACCAAATGCACAGAGAGAATAAAAGCGTGAAGCATCTGAGGAGTATTTCTGCACTTACTGGGGTTCTGGATCTTAACAGTAGAGTCGGGCTCAGGGTGGGGCTTGTGGACCACCTGGGTACAGACCTGCTCAGTCAGAATCTGCACAGAGAGAAGTTTAACGGTCACGGTTCAGTTCCGACATCAAAATGAACATGTGAATCTGTGTGGAGCTGCTGTCCAGCGTTCACCTACCTCATACAGAGTGTTGTAGGTGGTGATGGAAACAGTGTTGGTGTGCATCATCAGCCGTTCTCCCAGCAGTGTGAACAGACTGTGTGTGTGCATGATCTCAACCTTCCTCCTGCAGCAAAACAAAGACAAAAGTGCATTTCAGTAACTGTTCCCTTTATAACAGACTCTGGTTGTCACCGATTGGATGACAGTTTTATATTGGCAAACAGCACGTTTTAGCTTTAGCATACATGATGGAGCCATGCATGTGCTTTTTAAGAGTCCAGATACACTGTTGTGTAAATGTCTTTCTTTTGAATATTATTTCTCCAGGTCTTATGAAAATTTTTCAAATTTATTTATTGCAAGTTTACTGGGTTTTTTTTTAAGCCTTTTAGCTCAGTAGCTAACATGTCCAGAGAAAAGTTATTTTTCTTTGATTGTTCAAACACTTGACACGAAAATAAAATTTAAAAGGGGAGTGGTGGCGCAGAGGTTAGAGACCTGCGGGCCTGGGATCGGAAGGTCACCGGTTCGATTCCCTGAACCGACAACACAAAATGTGGATGGAAAAGGTGAAGCACCCACATCTGCGCCCACCCTCATTTGCCCCACTCTGGGCGCTTGAGCAAGGCCCTTAACCCCACCATCTTCACCCAAAAACAGATCTCTCTTTAAAATGAGTCCTCGTGACTTAATGAGACTGCCTGTATAAATAAAAGTAAAAAAAAAAAAAGTCACCTAACTCAAGGGATGAACCAGTGTTCATCATATACATAATAGACAATTAAAACAAAGTTTGACTTGTATTTTAGGTAATTTTTTTACTAGCAGACAATTTGTGCTCTGTCCCCTTTCCATGGAGCCAGGCAGTAAATATCAATGTTTGATGGATATAAAACAGTATTTTTGCACCAACAATGTTCTTGTCCAGAGACTATTAACATCTTAACATTTAGATTTTGTTCATCAACTGTCAAATATTTTTCTTACACTTTGCCGTCCTCTATTTTTCTCTTTTTCTCAGGCTTTGTCAGGACACCCTGTGAGATAAGCCAAACCCTTAGCTAATAGCTCTTTGCAAATCACCTTGTTGATGCTAAAACACATTTTGGTGCCTGTCGAACTGCATTACATTTGGCATTTTCAAAGACTATGCTAAATAAATAAGTTAAATGTGTTTTTGAAAGGAGCTGCCTGTAGAAAACAACCTGAAGATAAAATCTGGTTCTTTGAAATGCTGTGTATTATGTGCAATGCTTTAAGAAACAAAACTGCAGAAAATTGCTATTGATTTGTCAAGATTATCAATTAATCCTCATAAGGTCGGAGAGATATTAAGTCACAGTTTTAGTCAATAATAAAGTATAATATCTTAAGTGTTTTAAATATTTAAACTATTGACTGTCATTGATGTTACACTAAAAAGCAATTTGTATAAACCAGGAGCCCTGCAGGATGTGTGGTTGGAGCACAGTTGAAGTAGGTGGGGCACTGATGGTGCAGGGATCAGGTGAAGCCAGCAACCAGCTCTCACTTTGTGAACGTACATCACATGAAATGAATAAATCCCCCAGCATTCATTGCTGCTCATCAACATACGCCTTCCTGCCAGTGAACGCTGTCAAAATGATTATTCTGCCCAAACATGATAAGAACTTGTCACACACACATGCACGCATGCATGCACACATGCACTTTTCTCTCAGGCTCAAAGGAGACTACAGTGGAGAATATTTCTCAGTTTTTATTCCTGATGTGAAACCTCAACATCACCCCTTACTGATGCAACATTAGTGTTTTTGTTTCAGGACTAAACAAACAAAACAAGGTTTTGTTGTTCAAGAAAAATGTTTTGTGTATCTTCTCTCATTTCTGACAGCTAGACAAAAAAATAGAAAAAGAAAAGCATAAAAACAAATAAACAGACTTACTTGTGACCAAGGTGCTTCAGGAAGTAGCCGAGAACTTTGAGAGCCTGAACTCGTATACTTTCACTCTTAGAGGCCAGGAGCTTACAGATCACCCTGCAACGTGACCAACGTGCCCAGATTAACATCTCAACTCTTTGAGCTTTGCAATAAAAAAAAAAAACACTGAAGCTTTACCACTGTGTGTGTGTGTGTGTGTGTGTTGGGGGGGGGGGGGGGGATGCTCTCAAAGTTAATCAACACACGCACCAGCTGAAGCTCGTTCTTCAAAGAAGTGTACACAGGGGACACAAAAAGCAGGACACAGCACAGTTTCTAGCAATAGAAGAGTTACCATGGCAACCAAAATACATCCAAGGGTAGTTATGCACTGTGAGGATTGCCTGCTCATTTGGACTCATTCGCTTTTAAAAATATATAATAAAGCCAGTTTTGTTCTCAAAGGTATCACCAAGCTGAAATATGCTTTAGCACATAAGAAAAAAATACTGTTGCTGCACAAAACCACTGTGGAAGAAACCTCGGGATACTTTAGTGTAATTAGATGCTTCATATATTTAAAGGCCTTGCACTCCTTGAAGGAATGCGTAATGCTCGCTGCTTAAATGTCAGAGTTTTAAACAAAATTCTGTGTTGATAAATGTCAAAGTTGTAGCAGTTTTGGTCAAACTTTAAAAAACAACGTTATGCATGATCTCATGCAACATCCTGAGATGTACGCTCAGAGTATTTGTCGCGTACAGCAAGTTTTAGGTTAATATTTGTACGACTGACTTAGTTACTGCCAATTTTTTGTGTTGGCTAATGCTTATTAGCTGTGGCAGCGATCTTGAATTGAACTGACTCCAAATGGTAATCCATTACAGATGTGCATAAATTGATTATTTCCTGAAAGCTTCAACAAAATACATCCAGTGGTTCAAAAAATATTTTCTTAACAGACAAACAGGGTTGATTCCAACAGTTAATGCCAAAGTTTTAGGAAAAGACACTACGTAAAAAGAAGCACTTGATCTGTTGGGAATTAATCTGTGCTAAAAATACACCAAATTTTATCCTGACGCATGCTCAATAATCCAGGTAGAAAAATCTAAATAAGTTAAGTCTCGTTTTCTCTAGAAATGACCGAGTTAAAGCCATTTTTGTGTTTTCTAAAGTCTCTTGGCTGTGGCATCCATCTTGAACTAAATAAACTTCAATACAGTAGTCCCTCATTTATTGCGGGGGTTTCTATTCTCAGCTCCCCCACGATAAGTGAAAAACTGCGTAGTAGGAATAGTAGTACAAGTAGTAAGTAGTAGATTATTTTAGTATATACTTTATATATATACAGTATATATATATATATATATATACATATATATATATATATATATATACTGTATTTTCTGGCATATAAGTCGCAGTTTTTTGCATAATTTGCAAGTCCAGTGACTTAAACACTGAAGCAACGTATTTATGTTTTTCCCCCATAACCCAATTTTTGGCTGATATCTGACGATTTCATTCATTCTGACATGGAAAATATTGAACAATACCATTTTCAGCCCTCGAGTAATAAGGCAAGCCAAGTGCCTCATTAATAGGTAAAAATGGCTATTAATGAGACACGGTTTGCCATACCAAGCCACCTTCGTCTCGTTCTAGAACTCCTGAAGCAAATGTCAAATCAGCTGCATTTTGCCTGTGCAGCGTGGCAAAATGCAGCTGATTTGACCATTGAAGTGCATTTATTAAGGAAAAGTTCAACTGAGACACATCTTTACTTTAATTTCGAGCAAACTAATAATTGTTTTTAGGTGGTTATCTTGTTAAATTTTGACGAAATGGACAACGAGTCGTACCTCTGTGCGCTTCTGCTTCCACGTATCGGCTTTTGAAATTCAGTTGATTTGACCACCAAAGTGCATTTATTAAGGAAAAGTTAAACTGAGACACACCTATGCTATAATTTCAATCTAACAAATAATTGTTTTTAAATGTTAATCTTGTTAAATTCTTGTTAAAGTCGTCCTGCGACTGCCATTTGCCAGCCATTCGATTTTTGGCACAACACCCGCCTACATTTCGGGTTGTCAGCAGTGATGCGTAACAAATGCGACACGTCAGCGGTGACACATAATAGATGTGACTTATATGACGAAGTGACGTATTTATGTTTTTCCCACTTTATTAGGCATATTTGGACTGATTCGACTTATGTGGCGGTGCGACGTGAACAGTGAAAAATATGGTATATGAAGGTGTTTTAAACCCTTCTCACACTCTTGCAATATTCTAAAGAATGTTTATAAACTCTAAATGTTCTAAAAGAGAACATCATGTTATGATTTCCACTCTCTCTGCCACCTGGCAGTGCTCTCGGCCACGCACACTTCTCCGCTGCAGAGCAGAGATCATAACATGCTTCAGGAGGGAGCTTCTCCCTACACATGTGGGCTTGACACAGGTGCAGCAGGTGCTAAATAGTTTTAAATAATCTATTTTAAATAAACAATCCATGCCGATCTTATGGCTCATCCATCAATCAGCCAATTGTGTGTCATGTGCAATCTTATTTTGAAAAACTGTGAAAGAGCAAGTCTGCAAAAGTCGAACCACGAAGTAGCGAGGGACTACTGTACATTTAAATTTGAGCCCATAAATCCAAAACGCTGTTAACTCTTTAAGATCACATGGGGTTTTCTACAACACATCAATAACAAAAAGTGTATAAATGTTTTATGAATTTGGCAAATTTATATATATATATATATATATATATATATATATATATATATCTATTTCTCTTTTTTTTTTTTAAACTAAATGTCAACTTTTGGCTCAAATTTGTTAAACTGTTATGAAAGCCTGTTTTTATGTGCAACAATCCCTTGCTTTAATAGAACACACACAAGTTCAAGTTTAAAGTAAAACTAGAAAGATGCTTTTAATGGTAAAATTTGATGCTGCACGGAATTATTATATATATATTTTTTAAGTGAGCATGAATGTGTGGGCAGCATTCACCTTATGCCATTCCTCTGGTCAAAAGCAGGGATCATGGATGCCGGGTGTTCAGACATAAGAGCCACCAACAGCTGGAGCACATCGTGGATATTTTCATCCTGCAGAGCAAAGAAAATACAGTTGAACAGGTGAGGCGGTGAAGGAGAGGAAAAAGCCCAGCAGGAGGGATGAATAGAAGGGCTAAGAGGACAAAGAGAGAGTTGCAGGGGTGACACGGTGAGGGGAACTGCGGAGGAGCAGGTGGTATTTCAAGAATAGATATAATTGTTACAGAGGAGTACATTCTGTTCGGTCCATTGTTACGCCATTTTTTTTAAGCTGTCACTGCACCGAGGCTGACTCACACTCGCACTCATTTAAGTGGACCATAACTCCGGCCCACGGACTATAATGCACATTTTGCCACCGGCTCCACTCAAGCCTCCTCATCGTCTCTCTTCGGCTCTCAATCTATTGATAACAAATGAAAAGAAAGAAAATGCTTTACCTCATGCATGGTCAAAAGATAGTTGAGGATGCTCTGTAACTCGTCCTCTTTGACGCCTCGGTCCTAAAAAAAACATACACACAAAACATGTCTGATCCTTAGCCGTTTTTAAAGCAACTCGATGCAGGAGCAAATCAGCACAAATGCACACCAGCGCAAAAGTTACATGCGTGTTGCTAACCTATAATTCTATTTTCCACATATTTAAGATTAAGCCTGCGCTGCGCAGGAGGAGGACAGAGAACATCAAAGGCGTAAAGTGATTTCCTGCAGCTTAACTTATGCGAGGAAGATAATCAATATGCTCACTTTACCTTCAGTATGAGTTGTTTGAGGAAGAGAAGCATGAAGGCTCGGAGTGAGATGATCTCCTTTTGGGTTGGTCGAAGTCCATCTGAACAGAAAGAACAATAAAAAATATATTTCCTGTTAAAGAAATTAAAAGCCTAACATTCCTTGAAGGCATATTACCTGCTGAGTTTTAGACTATGATTAAACCTCAAAAACAACATCATGGGATATCATGTTAGTGCTTGGAGTGTGAGTTGTAAATGACTGTTGGGTACAAACACCAAATTTCAATTCAGTATCATGAAAATTCACTGAGATGTAGCCATTTATGTATAGGCTAAGGTAGAGTAGCTGTGGCTGCCATATTGAATTGGACTAATTGCAAATGTTATTCAGTTGTTGATGTACAGCCAATAACAACTTTCTGAAAGTTTCATTAAAATTCATTCAGCAGTTCATTAGATCAGGGGCTCCCTAACTTTTTCATGCCATGCCCCTCAGAGCCTTTTTTTGTACCGGGCCCCCCCACTTTTTTTTCCCCCGCCCCCCCCCCCCCCCCCCCCAAACAGTATCAGTTTCTGCCCGAGGCCCCTCTCGCAAACCCACAAACAATGCTACAAAATATGTAACAGACTTTTAGAATGTTTTAACTTTTATTCACTTTACTCAATTAATTATTACAGCTGCTGAGCATAAAAATGTTATTGGCTAACATGTTTTAAACACTGCATTATATTCCCACTCAAGTGGAGCTGAAGTTTCGAAGGTTTTAAACACTCGTTTGTGAGGGTCTCCAGACAGAGGACGCATTTTGGGCAATCACGGCCATTTTTCTGTATGACTGTAAAACCATATGTAATGTATACATACATACATTTGAGTTTTAGCTGGTCATGAGTTCTTTGTTTTTTATTCATTTATTTATTTTTTCATTGGGGGGGGGGTTGCAGCAGTTTCCACCACTGCAGGGCTGCTGGTCGGTTCCTTCGGTCTTTTTAGTAAAGCAGCTTGATACAAAATAATTACTGAAAAATAGATTTGATTTTATTATAGTAAAATCTTCTAAAATAGGCGGCTGTGGCTGAGTGGTTAGAGCAGTCGTCCTCCAATGCGAGAGTTGGGGGTTCAAATCCACCAGCAGTCACGTGCTGAAGTGTCCCTGGGCAAGACACTGAACCCCTCATAGCCTCCGATGTGTGTCCCATCAGTGTATGAATGTGATCTAAAAGCACCGATTAGTCTCATTAGAATGATTTGTTCAATTAGCTTTGTAGAGATCTAGTAGAGTGCTGTATGAATGGGTAGATGAGGACACAGATTGTAGTGTAAAGCGCTTTGAGTATCTTGAAATAAGATAGAAAGGCGCTATACAAGTACAGTCCATTTACCATTACAGTAATTAAAATACTTTGTAAAAATATATACGTTTTATTAAAATCTTCTCTTCAGCTTTTTGAGCCCCCCCCCCCCCGTGCCCCCTGGCAGCCCCCACTTTGAAAAACACTGCATTAGATACTTTGCTAACAGACACTTCAACAGTTATTGCCAAGGTTTTAAGGAAGCATGTCCTGCAATGTGTTGTGCTTGGGGACAATGTCCCACTACTACCTCACCCAATTTTAGCTCAACATCTGTAAATCTGGCTGTTAAAGCCATTTTTATAGTCATTGTTTTCTAACAGACAGAGTTGACTCAAATAGTTAATGGGAATGTTTTAAACCCTAATCTTGCACAATCGGTTGGCACTCAGAGTATAAAATGTGGATCCCTCCTCAGCTTCTACCACACCCAATTTTAGCTTATTACCTGTAAGATTAACTTAATGATTGCTGTTTTTGTACTTGGCTGTGGTGGCCATCAATAATCCAAATGTCTCCAAGAGGTAATCGTTTGTAGATCTATAACTATTGATTACTTTCTGAGAGTTTGTTCTGTGGTTCATGAGATATTTTGCTAATGGTATTGAGAAACAAAGCAACACAGATAAACATGATCATTGCCGTGCAGCGGGCAATAAAAAAAAATACATAAATGATGAAGATCAATTAAAAACCACTGCAGCTCAGTCAATATTCAATCTTCATAGGTTACATTTGGAAGGTGAACTCTGTATACTCACCATCACACATTTCCTCTACATTAGAACTGCAAACTGTAAATCACCTTCATCAACTCTAGTGGCAATTTGGCCGTCTGGATATTTTATGCTTGCACTAATCTAACTTATTACAGCAGAGACGCGGTAATTTGGAAAAAATGTGATTGATTGTCCAAATGATCCAAACTAAACAGACGCTGAAATCCCACTGTATCTACTCTGAAGCCCCACCACTTGAGGAGCCGCTTGCTGCGAAGGGTTGCAGGAGAGAATTGAGCTAAAAAAAACACACAAGAGCGTCTGACGCACTCGTCAACTCACTCCACAGATCTGAAAGTCTTTGCTGCTACTGAAGCATTTGGCTTGATTTTTGTCGTGACTCATTCATTCAACTGTCACAGACCATTATTGCCATTAACAGCCACGCGCACACGTTCATGACATTTGTTTTGACACGGGTTATTTGTTCATTCTTAGACTTCATGCATTTAGTTTTGGCTGAGTACTTTTCAAAACTTCCCCACTCAAGTTCTGACGCGCATTTGATTTTTGTCATAAAGTTGGCGCAGTTGGTTAGCCCTGTCGCCTTGCAGCAAGACTATCACAGGCATGATTCACACACAGACCTAAAACATGTAGATTTAAGATTAATTGGCTGTTCCATAATGTCACTAGGTGAGAATGAGCCATCTATCTCAGAATGGTTCTGTGATGGACAGGCGACCTGTCCAGGGTGTTTACCCCCACTTCTACAAACTGAAGTAAGTCAAAGTGACATCTACAACAGGTAAAATATTATTGGTTCGTTACATTTCCATAACCTTAACTCACTTCATAATGAGAGAGAGAGAGAGCAAGATAAAAAGTGCACAGGGAAAACAACCGGCCTGTGTCCATGAAGCTGGTGTCTCACTGGGCTGAGACTGTTGAAGACTTGATGATGACTCCAAATTGCAAGAAAATAGTGAATCTTGAGTTGCAGTCTCACTGAACTCTGTTTACAACCAGCGAGCAAAGTGGCCACGTGAAAATTGTGGCCTATTTTCTAATGCAGCGGTTCTCAAACTTTTTGGGTTCAGGAACCCTTTACAGGGGAGAAAAAGTTTCAGGAACCCTCTCATAATCCTCATGTTTATTAAATAACTGTCTTCAATTTGTCTCTTAAATGCAATGGAACTATTTGTGCAACATATACTTAAGACCTGTTCTTTAAAGACAACAACAATTTTCAGTCAGGTCATCTGGACGGTTTGTTTTTTCTGAGACGTTTTGTCCTTCATCCAAAGGACTTCTTCAGTCCGAGGAGCCACAAAAAAAACAACTGGAATCCCACAAGCACCAACTCCCATAGTGAAAAAAACTGTTTGCTGGTGATAAGATGGTTTCTGGGGCCCGTTCCCTCCCCCATCAACTCCTCTAAAGCAGCCATGCAAAAATGGTTCAAAACACCAAAATCCATGCTCAGTAATCCAGGTACAAATCCAACAATGTTCAGTCAGGTCATCTGGATGGTTACTCCAGTGTGTTTGTGGCTTCTTGGACTGAAGGATGGATGATGGACAAAACGTCTCAGAAAAAAAAAGACAAAAAAAGAAAAAAGAAACCATCCAGATGACCTGATTGAACATTGTTGGATTTGTACCTGGATGACTGAGCATGAACTTTGGTGTTCTTTAATAGTGTTAATACATTTTTTAAATATGGGGTATTTTTCATTCAAGACACACTTAATTAACATTTTTAATTTCAACTTCCATAATTGACAGTTTTGAGTGTTTTACCACTTCTTCAAATTATTATAGAAAACTCTTTACATAAAACTGAACAGAATCATGACAGCAGCTGTCAAATCAAGTAACAAGGCTTCATTTGTAAACTAATCAATGCCGGAACGCAAATTGTGGGCGGGCTGGCAGGGTGGTGTTGGGGGGTCTGTGTGTCCTCCCCCAAAACATTTTGAATAAAGTTGATGTGATTTCCTGCATTTTGGTGTATGTTAACAGGTTGTTGTACAACCCATTAAAAGTAAAAAAAAAAAAAAAAAAGTTTTTCTTTTTTGCAGACCCCAAGCACTGGCTCGTGGACCCCTGGGGGTCCGGGTGCCCCAGTTTAAGAACCACTGTTCTAGCGCATGGCTTGCAAAACAGTATTCTAGCTCTGCCACATTATTTGAGTTAACAAAAAATAGATCGTTGTTGATCTTATCTAGAAATCTGATTTCAGCCTCTATAAAGCTGGAGAACCCCTGATCAAAAACAGTATTTCTAAAACTACGTATGTAGCTCCTAATCTCCATGCTGTTGCTGAAAAAAAAAACTGGTGACCTCATCTACTGGCAGTTTAAACACAGACTGCTAGTAATCCTTTTAAACATGGCTCCAATGACAACATAAACAATAGTAACATCCACAATATCGTTTTTATTCATTTGTAACTAGGGTACTGTTTTTATCTTTTCTAGCAATTATGGAGAAAACAAGACATAAGAAGTCACTTTCAAATGTAAGTTGATATCCAAGGTGGTTAATTTGTGCACCAGATATAATTGACGCTTATTGTACTTTTTTAACCCCAGATTACTGTTTAATAACTCATAAACTGAGCAATCCAATAAAAGCATGTTCAGATCATAGCAACTATTACGAAAAGTACAATTTATTTTTTACTTGTTGACCTCACCACTGCCAAATTTTAATTATTTTTTTCTTCCTACATTTTTACTTATTGTAAACACCCCAAAGGATTTTAGCCAAAAGCAGCCTCACAAACCTCACAAGTTAAACTTTTTCATTTTTTAGTTAATAAGAAACAATAAATGTTTATGATATTCGGCCTTGTGTATACCACTACACTGTTTAGAGTACTCATTTTATATTTGCCACAAGGGATTAGAGCATAGACAAGCCCAGTGGTGCAGTTGGTAAAGCTGTTGCCTCCCAGTGAGAAGGTCGCCGGACTGAATCCCGGCTGGGGGCCTTTCTGGGTGGCGTTGGCATGTTATTTCC